CTCTTTATAAAGTGTTTCCATGTACATGAGCTGAATAGGGCAGCATTTTATCTCCACTTTACAGATGAGGAAACCTACTCAGTCAAACAACTAATCAGGAGCAGAACTGGCACCAAACACCTCTCTTCTGTTGTTCCCTGCTGCTTTTCCAGTTTGGACAGTGTGTGTGTGTGGTGGCGGGGGGTGTGAATGAGGGAGGAAAGTATGTTTGAACCGAGCCTTGAAGGAAATCATGTCCGAGTTTAGAGGCCAACACACCTTGGCAAAAGCATTGTCAGACATTCTCTGACTGTTCCCCAGACCCACCCTGTTATCCATTTTGTCTGCCTCCCTGGGCGCCTCGCCCTGCTGGTGTGTAATAGGGTGAGTTGTCAGTTGTGCATGTTACTGGGTATTTCACATACTCTTGGCCTTGTATTTGTTTTTGAAGCCTACCCGCAAGGCCACATCAAAGTGGCTGACTGTAAACAAGCAGGGCAGGCAAGTTGGAGTGAGGATTCTTTATACAAGGAAGAAGCTTGCTGGTTAAGAAACAGTGGAGCATAGCTGTGAACATGACACTGTTAAAGCGACAGGAACAGGGCACAGCTGTGGTTCGTCGCATGTGTTCCATGCATGCACTTCTGTTAGATCATTAGGGCTCTTAGCTTAAGACCTGGTATGTAGGAAGTGCTCAATATTGGTTCAGTGCTGTATTTGCTGCTTTTTGAAAAGATACAGAATTTTTCCTCTTAATCTACCTTTCTTTAATGTGAAAATACTTTTCTTTCTTTTTTTTTTTTTTGAGATGGAGTTTCGCTGTATAGTCCAGGCTGGAGTACAGTGGCGCGATCTTGGTTCACTGCAACCTCTGCCTCCCAGGTCCCTGTTGAAGCAGTTCTCCTACCTCAGCCTCCCGAGTAGGTGGGATTACAGGCACGAGCCACCATACCCAGCTAATTTTTGTATTTTTTAGTAGAGACAGGGTTTCACCATGTTGTCCAGTCTGGTCTTGAACTCCTGACCTCATGATCTGCCTGCCTTGGCCTCCCGAAGAGCTGGGATTACAGGCATGAGCCACTGCGCCCAGCTGTGAAAATACTTTTCAAATAAATACCAAATCTCTCAGCATTTACACTTGGAATATTGTGAATGCAAAGATTAGTTAGGTCTTCCTTTGATCTAATTTGATTTCATTATTCTTGGGTTAGTAAAATTTGGTTACTGTGGTTACATTTCAGTGATGTTCACTTCAAGGCTCTTCATATGAAGGATCAAGATTAAAAACAACTAAACTTAATAATTGACCAGTTAACATTTTAAACGACTCTAAAGGTCACACTCTAGGTGACTGGTTAATTTACTCAGTTTCAAACCACTCTTCTACTTCTTCTTGGTGTGCTTCAGTACATTCAAGTCTTTCTGTCCAGGATGACAGCTCTCTTTTTCCCTTCTGCTCCTCTTGTCATGTGTGGGTTTGGTGAGCCAGTGTCTTTAATGCGACTTTATTCAATACTGGAGTTGTACAAAGCTGGGGCCCAGTGGTTCCAGGAACACTAAGATGAGTGAGAGGTTTCCTCTCCTGAGTCGTCAGCTGGTGGGGATCCATGATGGGGCAATCTGGTAAAATTGGTGTGTGGAGAGGTGAGCCTTGAAGGATCAGAGTGGGGAGGAAGTTGACTAGATGCCTGGTGCTGTTTTCAGCACTTCATGCATATAGTTTTTTTCGTTTCATTCTTCTGAACCATTTAAGGTACATTCTGTTGTTTTCTGCATTTTATACAGAAGAAACTGACACAAAGAGAAGTTAAGTAACTTATCCAAGAGCACTCAGCTCATAAATGATCCTGCCTGGATTCTAACTCAGGCGGTCTGGTTGCGGAGTCTGAACTGTGAATGGCTCAATGGGATTTGGTCAAATGAAGATTAAGGGGAAGCCACGGTGATCAAATATTAACATGGAGGTAGACAAATTAGTTTAGGGCCATTTTGCTGAGGCTCTGGAATCCCATACCTGAAGGGGGGATAATTGTAATACATGACAGAACTAATATTTGTACAGGTTTTATGGGTCCACATTACCACCACCTCTGCTGATTGATTTGGTGGAATGTTGTGTCTGTGGTTCAGTGTGCAGGATAAGGTTGGGAAGGTTGTTAAGTAGAGGAGTCCCATGGTTTGTTCCCTCTCCTCTATGTTTTTTTTTTTTTTTTGAGACAGAGTCTTGCTCTGTCTACAGGCGCCAGGCTGGAGTGCAGTGGCGCAAGTCTCGGCTCACTGCAACCTCCGCCTCCCGCGTTCAAGCAGTTCACCTGCCTCAGCCTCCCGAGTAGCTGGGACTACAGGCATGCGCCACCACGCCCAGCTAATTTTTTTGTATTTTTAGTAGAGGTGGGGTTTCACTGTATTGGCCAGGATGGTCTCGATCTCTTGACCTAGTGATCTGCCCGTCTCGGCTTCCCAAAGTGCCGGGATTACAGGCATGAGCCACCACGCCCAGCCTGTCTTTAAGCTGTCCTGAGGTTTTGGCCTGCATTCCCTGTTCATGGTTAAGGCTTAGCCTCTGCTGCTTCTGTACCCTGCCCATGCTCTTTCCCTGCCCTACTCTTTCCAGAGAATAACTTTCCCCAGTTATTCTCTGGAAAGTTTCCTGGAATCTCCCTGTTTTTGCCTTTTCACCTCACTGTCCACCTCTAACCTGCCCTCCAGCATCCCGCTGGAGCTGTTCTCCCTGAGGAGACAGTACCTGGCTCACTGCTTATTTTGACTGGGACTTTTCAGACTTATCGCATCCAGTTTGTTCTCAACCAGGGGTGATTTTTGCCCCCTGGGGGCTACCTGTCAGTGCCTAGAGACATTGAGAGGGGCTGGCCTCTACTGGATAGACAATGAAGTTGCTGCTAGACATATTATAGGATGGCCATTTTGCAGTTCTGCATTCTTTTTGTTTGTTTGTCTGTTTGTTTTGAAAGGAAGTCTCGCTGTGTCACCCAGGTTGGAGTGCTATAGCACAATCTTGAACTCAGTACAACCTCCATCTCCTGATTCAGGTGATTCTCCCACCTCAGCCTCCAAGTAGCTGGGATTACAGGTGTGCACCACTACACCCAGCTAAGTTTTGTATTTTTAGTAGAGAAGGGCTTTCACCATGTTGGCCAGACTGATATTGAACTCCTGTTCTCGTGATCCCGCCTGCCTTGGCCTCTCAAAATGCTGGTATTACAGGCGTGACCTACCATGCCCGGTCACAGTTCTCCATTCCTAAAACTGTCCTCTGACTGCCTGCGCATAATTCTCTCCTGACTTGTTTTTCAGTAAATTCTCAGTTCATTTCTTACCAGTCTCTAGGGGGATCTTCTCCTCCAGCCTTGGTTCCAATCCGTGCATCCCAGGATTCTTTCCCTGGCCTCTGGTCTCTGCCCACTCCTCACATTCCTCTTGGGCATCTCATTAGTCCTAGGGATTTAACTTTCATCTCTGGGTGAATGACCCCACATCTGTATTCACAGCTCTAGCTCGCTTGAGCTACAGTAAAATTCATATCTTCTCCACCTCAGTGGTGCACAGGCACTTCCAACTCAGTGGTTCCTAAATAGAGCAGCCAAAAGTCTTCCATCCTCCCTGCCCCTCTCCCACATTGCTGTCCATCAGCATGGACACACACACACACACACACACACACACACACACACACTAGTGCGCACGCACTCTCCCTCTCTCATCACAGTCAACTAACGACAAGAACAGCAGCAACATTAATGATCCTTTATGTGCCAGGTACTGTGCTAAACTCTTTATAAGCATTTTTTATTTAATCTTCAAAAAATGTCTACAGGGTAGCTACTATAATCATGCCCATTTGTGGTTGAGAAAATTGAGGGTTAAACAGATGAAATAACCAGTTCACTTTTACATAGCTAGTGTCGCATGGAACTGGGACTTAACACATACATGTCCTTTTTTTCCTAATTTAAAAAAAACAGATTTTATTTTTTAGAACAGATTTAAGTTCACAGAAAAACTGGAAGTATAGAGTGTTCTCATACACCTCCTACCCTCCTCCAGCCTCCCCCACTATGAACGCAAAATGGTACATATGTTACAGTCGATGAACCTGCATTGACACATCGTTGTCAATTCTGTAGTTGACATTAGGGTTCCCTTTGGGTGTTATAGATCCTATGGATTTTGACAAATGTGTAACGGCATGTATCTACCATTATAGTATCATAAGAATGGGTTTGGTGCCCTAAAAATCATCTGTGCTTCACCTGTTCATCCCCCACACCCCATGGCAATCACTTGTTTTTTTTTTTGTTTGTTTGTTTGTTTGTTTTTAACTGGCTCTATCATGTCTTTTTGACATTTTAGAAATAAATTCTAAGCTCAGATGTTCAGTTATCATTGAATAGCTATAAGGAATCAGTAGAGTTCCCATATCCATGAATCATGTTTAATTCTTAAGAATTGGGTTAGTGGATTCTAGTTTCTGTCACCATGTTTTCTGTCCTTTCTGGGAACACGCTTGGTTATTTGCACTGTGTGGGGGGGGACATGTACTTAAGATAGAGTACAAATATGTTGTTGTCCCACTTCCTGTCCTGCTAGCTTTGGAAGAATTCTGGTTTTTTCCTTCACAGCCTGGCTTTGTAATTCTGTATAGACCAACAATTAGTTTGATCCAATATCCCTGCCATTAGCTGTCAGACCACCTTTGAAGAGAACGGGGCATGAGGCCCCGACTATGTTCCAGCTTCTTTCTGGCATTCAGAACAACCTAAAGCTTTTGATGAAGGACTTTGAAGGCCCTTTTTAGAGATTCCACCAGGACTGATTGGTTAAGTACCTTCATCATATTGTTCCCTGGTTCACTGGAGTGGTTCATCTTTAAAGGAACCCAGGAACTGCCTTTCATTATATCCATGTCTTAGAAAAACCTCATACCATACTGATGCAAGTACAGTTGAGAGTATCTAATCCAGACATCTGAAATCTGCTATCTCTCTCTCTTCCTCCCCCAGAAGCCCCATGTGCCACTCCCCTGATCTGCAGCTTTGGGAGGCCAGTGGACCTGGAGAAGGATGACTACCAGAAGGTGGTGTGCAACAATGAGCACTGCCCCTGCAGCACCTGGATGCACCTGCAGTGCTTCTATGAGTGGGAGAGCAGCATCCTCGTTCAGTTCAACTGCATCGGCCGTGCACGCAGCTGGAACGAGAAGCAGTGCCGCCAGAACATGTGGACAAAGAAGGGCTATGACCTGGCCTTCCGCTTCTGCTCCTGTCGCTGTGGCCAGGGCCATTTGAAGAAGGACACAGACTGGTACCAGGTGAAGCGGATGCAAGACGAGAAAAAGAAGAAGTCTGGCTCTGAGAAGAACACAGGGCGGCCTCCTGGTGAGGCAGCGGAGGAGGCAAAAAAGTGCAGGCCCCCAAATAAGCCCCAGAAAGGGCTGAGCCATGACCTCCCCCGCCGGCATTCCATGGACCGGCAGAACTCCCAGGAGAAGGCAGTGGGTGCCTCGGCCTATGGTGCCCGCTCCCCCGGTGGTTCCCCAGGCCAGTCACCACCCACAGGCTACTCCATCCTCTCTCCTGCCCACTTCAGCGGCCCCCGCTCCTCCAGATACCTCGGGGAGTTCTTAAAGAACGCCATCCATCTGGAGCCTCACAAGAAGGCCATGGCTGGGGGCCATGTGTTCAGAAATGCCCACTTTGATTACAGCCCCTCGGGGTTGTCAGTTCACAGGGGGGGACACTTTGACACCCCCGTGCAGTTCCTGCGGCGGCTGGACCTTTCCGAGCTCCTCACTCACATCCCCAGGCATAAGCTGAACACTTTCCACGTGCGCATGGAAGATGATGCCCAAGTGGGCCAGGGGGAGGACCTGCGGAAGTTCATTCTGGCCGCGCTCAGTGCCAGCCACAGAAATGTGGTAAACTGTGCCCTGTGCCACCGGGCACTCCCGGTGTTTGAACAGTTCCCACTGGTGGATGGAACTCTGTTCCTAAGCCCGTCGAGACACGATGAGATCGAATATGATGTTCCTTGTCACCTTCAAGGTATAGGTGTTACTTCACCTTGCCTGCTTTACATTTGTTAAAACCAGACAGCAAACAAGATGGATTGCTTTATTTGGCTTAGTTTTCACCAAGTTGTTTTTTTGTTCTAGTCAGGTGCTAGGTAACGTTTGAATATTTCACCTTTGCCCAGTGAGGTGGTGATTTTTACTCTGATGTTGCTGTACCAAGTACAATTATCCAAGTGAATAATTTTGTGTGCTTGTTCTGTGTAATTTGAAGAGAGGATTGCTGGTGTATCATTTTGCATAATGGGGAAGGAAATTAGAGGAGTTGTTGTATATTTGTCACTTAACTGTAAACCTGTTTAATGGGCCCAGCTTGCCATGTATTCTCTTTGATCCTTATAAACATAACAATGAGGAAAAGCAGGGGTCAGAAAGGGCCAAGGTATTTTTAGATTAGTTGAGTTAATTTTGAAGTTTATGAAAGATGAGACTGTCTTGATAGCAGCAAAAAGAAAACAGGATTATTGAAAGCTCAGGCGTTAGCCCAGTGGTGGAGGTGGAAGGCGGGATGATGCGATATAAGGACTTGGTACATTTCAGCCATAAATTGAATGACAAGAGGTTGGTTAGTATAGGTGAGAAATTTGTCAGCTCATGTACAACTACTGAACTTCCATAAAGATGAGGCATGTCATATATAACATGTTTATACTTTAAATGTGTGCTAAAAAGCTTGTTGTAAAAATGATATATCCCCACCTGTCTCCTTCCCACCAACCCTGCTGTGTCAGTACCCAAACATTTCAAATCTCAGCCGATGCTTCATGTTTTTAACATCATTATTGTAGATACTGCTGTCTTCATTCTCCAGTTTTACATATTGTCTGTTTTTTGACTGGCTTTGAGGTGGATGACTGTCCATCACCCTTCTTCCTCAAGATGACATATCACAATTCTTGATTAAATCCTTAATGTTTACTATCATGAATACATATTAATATTGAACCAAGAAGTATAGGGGTTTTTCTTGTTAAATAGAACAGGATATCCTAGAACACCTTTTGTTTTTATTAGGGTTAATTGATTATTGTTTTCATTTGCATAGTTTTTTTTTTTTTTTTTTAACTTTGGCTAGTTGTCTGACTCTCCAGCAGCTTTACAAACCAGCTTTAAGAAGATGGCAGTGGCTCACGCCTGTAATCCCAACACTTTGGGAGGCTGAGGCAGGCAGATCACCTGAGGTCAGGAGTTCAAGACCAGCCTGGACAACATGTTGAAACCTCGTCTGTACTAAAAACACAAAAAAATTTTGCCAGGCTGGTGGCAGGCACCTGCAGTCCCGGCTACTTGGGAGGCTGAGGCAGGAGAATCACTGTAAACCCAGGAGGCAGAGGTTGTAGTGAGCCAAGATCATGCCATTGCACTCAAGCCTGGTATCAGAGTGAGACTTTGTCTTAAACACACACACACACACACTCTTCCACATACCTGTCAGTTTTTTTGGAAGAAAAATTTTTCCCCTGAAAATGTCTGTTGTAGAGACTGTTAACCTCTTGCTTCTACCTGTCCTGGTGCACTCAGGACCTGGTATACCACATAGCTGTCCTAGGAATGCCTTTATTTCTGTCGTATTTTTAAAAATCTTTTTTTCCTAGATCTCATATTTTATTTTTTCTTAGTTTATTCTCTCCGTTTTTAGGAAACATCCCCCAGGAGCTTTTTGAGAAAGGGAGCGTGGGAATAGATGATTTGAGACTTTGAACGTCTGAGAATATCTTGATTTTTATCTTCACATTCCATTGCTGTTTAGCTGGGTCTAGTCTTCTAAGTTATACATATTTCCCCTTGGCATTTTGAAGGCATTTCTTTACTGTCTCCCATCTTACAATGCCTCTGTTTTGAGAAGTCTGATATTACTCTTATGCCTGTCTTGGCCTCCACCTCCACCCCTCTATGAAGGTTTTAAGATTTTCTTTATATATCCCTAATGTTCTGAAATTTCACCATGATGTGGCCTTTTACAAAGTTTTCTCTATTTGTTATGCTTTCTCTACTCTTTTGGCTCTTTGGCTTTGTAAACTTACCATCTTCCATTTGGAGACAGAGTCTTACTCTGTCACCAGGCTGGAGTACAGTGGTGCAATCTCGGCTCACTGCAACCTCTGCCTCCCAAGTTCAAGCAATTCTCCTGCCTCAGTCTCCTGAGTAGCTGGGATTACAGGCATGCGCCACCACGCCCAGCTAATTTTTGTATTTTTAGTAGAGATGGGGTTTCACCATGTTGGCCAGGGTGGTCTCGATTTCTTGGCCTTGTGAACTGCCTGCCTGGGCCTCCAAAGTGCTGGGATTACAGGCGTGGGTCACTGTGCCTGGCCAGAAATTTACTTTTGTGTTATTTCTTTGATCATTTCCTCCACCCTATTTTCACTTTTAAAAAAGTCTGTCAAACTCTGATTAATCAGATATTAGACCTCTTAGATTATTTTTTTGTTGGAGTAGAGAACGCCTTTATTTTATATATAATAAAGGATGTCTAATAAATATATACATGGACCTTTTCATCTTTATATTTTTATTCTGCTTTATGGAAAATTTCCTTGACTTTTTATTCTGGTGTTTTTATAGAGTTTAAAATTTTCTGTTCTTACATTTTTAATTTACAAGAGCTCTGCTTAATGGCATTATTTTCTTGTTTCATGTATATAATTTCTTGTGCTACCTTTCTGAGCAAGGAAAGGGAGCTGAAATTTCAGAGAGTAGTCTCATTCATTTTGAGAATTGTACCTAACTCTCTATAAGCATTTGTTATAAAGGAGAGCATCACAAAACTTAGTGATTTAAAAGGATAATTTAATGACTTTTCGTAATTCTATGGGTAGATTGATTAGGACAGTTAGGTTGGCTTAGGGGACCTCAGCCAGAATGGCTTGTCTGTGTTCGTTCACCTTCTAATAAGCTAGCTTGGGCTTTTTCACGTGGTGCTCTCAGAATCGCCTTTAAGAGATGTGAGTGGAAGTTGCAGAGTCTCTATCTAGAGGCTTAAGCTTGGAACTGAGTAACATCACTCTTACCACATTTTGTTCATTAGCATAAGTCGGAAGACTAGCCGAGATTCAGATGATGCTGAAATACTCTGCTTTTTGATGGAAAGTGTTGTATAAAATTTATGGTGGTTTGAAATGTATTGCTCCCTATGATCTCCCTTTCCACACTCTCTAGTGCTTGTCCAGTTTCAGAGCTTAACCATTTACTATTCATCAGTCTGCTTTCTGACCTCATAATTTGATTCAGGGTTGAAATAACCTCATTATTTCATGGAATATGGAGGGTTTTTTTTTTCTGTTTAGGGATAATTTTAGAGTGAAGTGGATGGAAACACCTTTATTTCTCCATTGTAAAACTTGAAACATTTTTTATGAAGATAATATGGGTACATCATATATGAGAATAGTAGTGTTCTTTTTCTATCTATGGTGGACAAATTCTTTTCATGTAATCAGTTGATCAAACTTAACGGATTTTACACATGCTGAGTACTGTCAGTTCTTGCTTGTCATCAATTTATAATCTTAGGATAAGATGCTTTTATAAAATGTAACTAACCAGGCTTAAGGTTCTAGTATCACACCTGGATATGATGTATGTTAAGTATCATGTAATTTCCAGAGGAAGGGACCACTTTGGCTTGGTTCGTACAAAGAGGCAGCATGAAGACTGATGTCAAAAGGTGGGCTGGATCTTGGTAAGCAGAGGGTCTACCCAGGTCAGATGTTTGTTGAGGAGGAGGTAGTGCCTGCAAGCAAAGGAAGGATGGTTAAAAAGAAAAAGAATGGCAGGTTGTGATCAGGAGATAGGGAGAGGACTGTTTGGTTGGAGACAAGGTTGTTCTAGAGGGGGAAAGGAGTAGGATAGGGAGAGAACAGATAGCAGACGTACTTTCAAGCCATAATAAAGAGCTTTGCTACATGTTCTTCATGAATGTGAATGGAAAGATTTTCAACCTTTTTTTTAAAGCAGGTAATCACATGGAGGAAAGGGGTGGAATCTGGAGACAGAGTTGAGACTTTACAGTCTGTAGTCTAGATGCAAGGAGAAAAGAATGCTAAGGTGGAGACAGAATGGAAGGGAGGGGATATTGTCAAGAGGTTATTTCAAAGAAAAATTACAGCTTGTGAATTAAAAACAAAATTCACTTTACTTCTAGACCAGATAAATGGTGCAAGAGTAGAGAAAGGAGATGGGTAGATAAAGGTGGGGAAAGGAAGGGCCTGACTTTAGGGGACAGAAGATGAGGTTTGTGTGTGTTGGGTTTGAAGGGATGTTGAGACTTGTGTGGAGATATCTAGCAAACACAGTTAAAAATAAGCATTTGGGTTGAACACTGAGGAGTTTATAACAGTTGTGGTTAAAATCCTAAGGGTGGAAGAGCTCTTGGATATGAAGAAAAGAGAAAGAAAGGAAGGCGGATATGATAAACCTACGAGTAAATCTTGAGGGTACCTTTCAGGGAGCAGATGGAGAAAGGTGAAAATTAGGCCTGAGTACTTGAGTGTGTGTGTATACACATCAAAACATAGACATAGAAATGGATAATGTGCGCATTAGATGTGCACCACAAAGATACTGAGAAGTTGAATGTTTGATATAAAATCTGAAGATCAGGGTGTTTAATCATTACAGAGAAGTCATCGTTGCCACAAGTGGGACCTTGACCACATATCAACATTTTTATTGCCACATCTTTGAGTAACCCATGCTATCTTATTTGTAGTAAGAAAGTGTAAATCATGTCTTTAATCACCAATTACTGATCAGGCATTCTTCTATTTTTCTTTCCCTTTTTTTATGTTTATTTTTGAGTATGTTGCTCTGTTACCCTGGCTGGAAAGCAGTGGAGTGATCAAAGCTCACTGCAGCCTTGTACTGTTGTGATCAAGCAGTCCTCCTGCCCCAGCTTTTCCAGTAGCTAGGAATATAGGCTCAAGCCACCACTCGGCTTATCTTTTTCAAACTTTTTAAAGAGATGGGGTCTCACTGTATTGCCCAGGCTGGTCTTGACCTCCTGGCCTCAAACAATTATCCCATTTCAGCCTCTCAAAGTGCTGGGCTTATAGGCATGAATCACTGTGCTTAGCCTGGCTATGTGTTTTTTAAAGTATTTTCAACTCTTAATAGAAGGACCACACTGCAGGCCATAGGATTGTACAGCATTCAGGCTGACCTGTTGCTGCAGTACTTGCTATATTGAGTGGCCCTCTCTGGAGTATTACTCCCTCGCCCTGCCCTTACCTCTCACTGCCCTTTCCAGACTCTGTCTCTGGACTCTTGTTTGCTCTCGTTTCCTCTGAAAATAGGAAATTTCCTCTGAAAATAGTTTTTTTTAGCTTTAATAATTTATTAAGATTGATCTAATTAGGAAGTTCTTACTGGGCTTCTTTACCACTTTGACTCACATGTGATTGTTCTCCCGGAATCGATTTTTTTGTTTCAATTCACAAAGGGTTTAGAAATTCAAAATTCTCTATGCTCAGGACAATGTGTAGTAGAACTGAAACAAATCTAGACTCAGTCCAGACCAGGTGTTCCAGTGAGTTTGCCTGTAGGTTATGGATGAGAGAGACATGAATCAGTCTGGACTTGCTACTTAATTATCTTATGAACTTGGGCAAGCTGCTCCACTCTCTAAACCTCACTTTCTGCTATCAGAAGTCAGAGCAACAGTAATGCCTATTTTGTAATGTTGCTTTTAGGGTTAAATGAAGTGATTCATAGGGAGCTGGTAGCATAGTGCCTTGCATAACCCTTGGTTAACCCTTTGTAAAAGTTATTCTGTCTTCATCACTATGGTCATTGTTAGCAACACATGACTTTTGTGTCTATGGCTGCTGGTACCCTTCTCAGCTGTGGCCTCTGTACCTGTGAATGTTTGGGAATTGCACTAAGTAAGCAGGATGGAGAGTGCAACTCAAGTTTTTTCCAGTGGTTCCTGGATCTTTGAACAGACTTCCTGACATGCCCCGAGGCCCCAGTAGATGTGGCATGTGAGACCCTTTTATTTTCAGTGTCCTAGAGCAGAGGTGGGCAGGCAGTATTTCAAGAAGCTCTTGTCATCCTTCCCCTTTTTGCTATAAAGGCCCCCAAGGTTATGCTGTCTTTGGCTGTTAACATGCCCCATCCATTTACACTTATAAAATGCTTTCTACATCCCAGACAATGTGTTAGTCAGCTAGTCTACAAGGATGAATAAGACATAGTTCTTGCCCTCAAGGAGGAAGAGGGTCATACAAGCAAATGCAAATGAAGGGCTCCCCTAAGTACTGTAGATAGAACACAAGCCCTTCCATCGGGTAGGGAGCAGGTTGGCCCTTACCACTGAGTGCTCAGACCCATTGTCTGACTGATGGCAGTGAGCAGCACATTCTAAATAGAAGGCTACTTAGGATTATGTGTTCTCCTGATGGTAGTTTTTAATATTGGGGGTCACCCTGGGTCCCACACACAGCAGAAATGTTGCTGTTTTATATGTCGCCTGGGCAGATTCTGGACATTTTGACTAATTATTTGAACTGTGATGCTTCCAAACACACTAGACATCTTTTCTTTATAAACATTAAGATGTTATCAAATAATGGAGGGGAATCGTGTTGTAACTTTTAAGGGCCCAGTGAATAAGAAGACATTGAACTTCTTTTAAAAAGTTACTTAGAAGTGAAATACAATTCTGTTTCCCAAATTAGATGTGGTAATGGCTGAACATTTTGAGAACAAGGACAGTTAACATGGTAATTTTGGTTGTGTTGTAATTCTGGGCTATCCATCCCCAAGACAGATTTTTGACTTTTTTATGTTGGGACTTGGGATGAGAGAGCTTGTGACAAGACCAGTGTTGCTGGTTAGGTCTCCATATGCTAAACCTAAACTTCTGATCAGGAAGTCCTGCATGAATATAGTACAGGCTGGTTTTGAGTATATGTGACTTTGTTATTTGAATTTGGATGGACCTATAATGTAAAGCCAGCAGGACTTTTTGGAAAAGTGAATTGAAGACAAGTTTTTACTATTCTTGAACTTAAAATACATGTTTTATTGAAAATAGTAATTCATCATTATCCTGAAAGGGCAGCTTGTGTACTAAATATTGATTTTTCTTTTTATATTTATCCAAATGACAAAATGTTTGCTTATAATTTGTAGATGAAACACTTTTTATCCCCTTAGAGATGAAACGTGATTTCCATGATGGCCACTCTGAGCCTTGTGTCTTCTGTGCACAGGGAGACTCATGCACCTGTATGCAGTATGCGTGGACTGCCTGGAGGGGGTTCACAAGATCATCTGCATCAAGTGTAAGTCACGGTGGGATGGCAGCTGGCACCAGCTGGGCACTATGTACACCTACGACATCCTGGCTGCCTCTCCATGTTGTCAGGTAGGTATTGAACACACTGAGAGAGCAGTGGGTGATATTAGGCCTCCGTCCCCAAGTGAATGTAGGGAAGATGCTTCCAATAATAAAGAAGAAATTCAGTCCAGCAATGATGGCTGAGTTACCACTTGTAATGTAGTCATTCGGTGGAATATTATACAGTCATTAAAAGGGATGGTGTAGAATAATACATAATTATGTGGGAAGCATTTCTAGTATATTAGGTCAAAAGAACAGGTTATAAAATGGCACAATAATATGCTTGCATTTGTAAGTAAGTGAGCATGAAAAGTGAACTACTAACCTGTTACCAGATGGTCTCAGTGGTAGGAGGCTGAATGGCTCCTTTAGTTTTCTTTTTGCTTGAGTATATTTTCATTTTTTTCTTTTTTCTTTTTTTTGAGACTGAGTCTCACTCTGTCGCCAAACTGGAGTGCAGTGGTGCGATCCCGGCTCACTGCAACCTCTGCCTTCCCAGTTCAAGCAATTCTCCTGCCTCAGCCTCCCGAGTAGCTAGGACTACAGATACGTATCACCACGCCCAGCTAATTTTTGTATTTTTAGTAGACACAAGGTTTCACCATGTTGGCCAGGATGGTCTCGATCTCTCTACCTCATGATCCACCCGCCTCAGCCTCCCAAAGTGCTGGGATTATAGGCATGAGCCACTGTGTCCAGCTACTTGAATATATTGTCTAAGATTCTGTATGATTAGCTTATACTAAATTTCTAATAAGAAAAAAGTTACTTAACAGGAAGAAAGTCACTTTCTTAGACAGGATTTTCTTGTTGATTTCTTTCTGTGGGATAGTATAATTACTCAGGAATTGCCTGTCTTGTAAAGTGTTAGAGGTTGTTGTAATCCTTAAAGCATTACCAAAAGGAGGCATTGTCTCATGCTATGAGAACATCTGAAATTCAGCTGTCATCATAAACAGAGGAAGTATTCACATATGCAGACACGAATAACCTGTAGCATCACAGGAGACAAAATCCTTGGAAATATCTTTCTGTACTTCCAAGTGCTGGGGAAGAGAACATCTTGTTATATAATTCCTTGATACTCATGGGCAGTAGAGAAATTTTTCTTTGCTCTAAAGTGTTCCAGCCTGTTTTTTTTTAAATACAAATAGCTGATACATACTTTATTAGCTACTTTATAGTTTTATGTCTTTAGCATTATGGCTTGATTTTTGTAAAGAGAATATTTTTTACTATTAGTAGATGTTCACTGTAACATTTTATGATAGTTATTGTTCCTTAATGCCAGCTCTTGAGAGAAACCAGAGGAAGTAGCTTCCCTCTGCATACACACCACGGAGGATTATCTTTTAAATTAAATAAGGAAGTGAAAGAATGTTTGAACCTGTTAACTCAGAAGATTAGCACTGCAAAGGACCTGGGATCTAGACCAACCTCCTCATTTCCTCATACAATGGAGGCTAAAACTTTGGGATGTTTTATCCAGGTCTGCATACATAGTGTCACAGCCATGCCTGCACCCTGTGATTCCTGTTGTGTTCTTTCTAATACACCACTAAAAGGTAATGAGTTTATTTCCATATCTTTAGGAAGAAAAACAGAACAGCATCCTGAGTGCAGCCTCTTCACCATGCACTATATTTTTTCCTTAAAATAATTGGAGCCCAGACCTTTGTTATCTGGCCCCCTACTGAAATGGAAAACATATTTGATTACATGTTTAAATTTAAAAGTTTGATTACATTTTTAAATTTAAAAAAAATCTGTGACAATATTCACTGTGAGGTTACAAGTTTTAGACATTACTAATGAATCAAGAGAAATCTTCAATAAGATGGAGCCAAAAATAAGCAATTATTGATTCTTAGAAAAGCATAACAGGGTGAAGATGGGTTTGTTCAGAATCACACTTTTAATGTTGTTCAGATCTCTCTTGATTTTGTTAAAGGATTTATTTCAGGTTACAGAAAAGTAGTTCCTGCCATGGGTGAGGGTGAACAGGCTGCTTTGGTTCACTCCCTGCTTTGCTGCTTTATAACTGTGGTCTCGAGCATGGTGCTTTATCACATGTGCCTCAGTTGCATTATCTAAAAGTCAGCTAATACTGTCTACCTCCTAGGAATATTTTGAGAACAAATCGAGATTATACTTTCTAAGTACATTTTAGAAATGTGTCTAAACTGAGTCTATTTTATTCATAATTTCTGGTTATTCACTTAAGTCCTAGACCCATTGCTGACAGGTTCCAGGACTGTGCTGTTAAGGAGAGGCCAGGCATAAGTGAAGCTGGGAACTCCAAAAGCCTCAGACCGGCACCACACTTCCTGGATTGCTAACTTTACTTATGTATTTTGGGAAATTTTCTTTTTACATCCAAATGCAGTTGTTGTATAGAGTAGAATGAAAATATGTATGAATTTTGAAAATAAGCCCAGAATCTTCAAAGAGGTTTGGGTGAAGGAAGTCAGCTTCTGGAGGGGAGGGGTTTCTTATTGTTAGGGAACTTCAGTGGAGAGTGTTTAGGCAGTACCAGTTTAGAATTTTCTTCTCATAAGTAGGTGAAACAGCTAGCAGTGCTGCATCTCAGGAGAGAAGTTGGGAGTCTTTCAGGCATACCCCGTTTCTCTGTTTCTGGTAATAAAATGGATGCTTTATGAAGCTCTTGCTCAGTTTCCCAGCATTTTGGTTTGGATGATTTTGACAAGTGTTGGGAAGTTAAGGGGTGTTGTGGTTGATGGTGTCTGTTTCCCCCAGGCCCGCCTGAACTGTAAGCACTGTGGGAAGCCAGTGATCGACGTGAGGATCGGGATGCAGTACTTCTCCGAGTATAGCAACGTCCAGCAGTGTCCACACTGTGGGAACCTGGACTACCATTTCGTGAAGCCATTTTCCTCCTTCAAAGTTCTCGAAGCTTATTGATGAAAGCTTTGCTTTAGTAATAGCTATTTTATTGATATTATTACTTTATTACATATCTTTTATAGGGAAGCATTCTGTGACATTAATTTCTTTTCTAATTTAAAGGAGAGTTACTTTGTTGTATGTGTGCCACTAAAATAGGGGCCCTTGCCCTGTGTTGATTCCCGAGTGTTAGTCTGTGGTTTTGACAAGAGCCCAAATGGGTAATCCTGTGCATTTCAGTCGGGGTTCACTCTTACCAAGAATGTTCGATGCAGCTTTAAGATGATGGGGGCGATGGGGTGAACTTAGGAAAGGAATTATGTGGCTGTAAACTAAAGGCTTGATGGGAGTTGGAAGGAAATGCTTACTACAATGTTAACTTTCTAAAAACCTACTTTGAGATCTTCCTTGGGTCTTTGAAAGAATATGTGACAAGTGAATGTAAGTCTGTGCCTGGAGAGCCATTAGTCTATCTCAGCCTAGTGTTCTGCAGCACACGTGGGCAAGCAGTTTACTCACACTGACAGATGACCTGAAAGTGGCACCAGTGCTGTTTCTATCACTATTGTAATTTGCCAATCCATTTTTCATGCTGAAAATAATATCCAAATTGTAAGACATATGAAAGATATTAGTGTTGCAGGTATTGGTAAACTGACCTATAGCAGAATATGTGAAATGGATTTGGAAATAATGCAAGAAGGCAGAACTCAATCATTTGAATTGTGTCTTTGAAGTTGGTAAAATAGCTCTTAAGGAGAATCCATGAATAACATGATGTAGGCAATGATGATTTATTACAGGTTGCCCTGTCGAAGTGTCATTTGGTGTCAGATTCTTCTCACAGGTAAATCTCTCAGCCACAGACTCTAACTGGTGAGCTTCAGAACCAATAGTTGCACACTTACTGTCCTCAGAATTACTTAGGGCCATTTTTAACCCATTTAATTCTGAGTTTCCAAAAGCAAAGATTTGACCTTAAGAGGGAAGGAAAAAAAATGTGAAAGGATGATGAAGAAAATAATCATTTTACTATTTCTTTTAAAAGTTGGTTTTATTTGGGAAAAATCAGTGATTGTAATGTACACCAGTATGTTTGAAAAATAGACCATTCTAAAAAGCCCAAGATACTTTACTCTTGATGAAAAAAGATGATCATATATATATAGAACTTGATTAGTCAAAGATTGGGCATTCCAGAATACAGCCTTTGGTTCAGTAGATTTTGATGCATTAAATAGACTGACATGCCATACCCTTATAGAATTGGAATATGATTTCTCAAAAGTGAATTTGATAATTTCATGTATGATATGCATAGAGAATGCTAAAAGAATGCTGAAAATAATTTTATGAATAGCCAAATTTGGGGTTGATGTGAACATTTTATATTACTCATTTACCTTTTTTTTATTGTGTGGTTTTTCTTTTCAGAAGCATTTAGGCAATATTGCAAGTGAGCTTCAGTTCCATATGAAGTATTTGATGTTTTGTTTGAAACAACACAGCATTAACCAATGTATTGACTAATACTTTTCATCTTTCAGTTTGGATGATTGGGTTTGCTACATCTAGGTTGGTATTTGATCATCTGAAAAATATTTCAGTAGGAAGAAATGCATAAAATGCCTATAAGAAGTAGAAGGTCATTGAACTGACAGTGTTTGATGTAACTAAAAGAGCACTGTAGGACATAGCTTCCTGCAAACTTGTTTTTAATGCACAAAGCTGTAGTTGTGAATTAACTATTTCCTTATTGATTCTCTCATGTACCCAGATACAAAAAGTGTTAAGTTTCTCTTGTCCTCGTAATACCATTTGGATTTTATTTCTGAATTTAAAATAAATAGTAAAATATTTACAGTGCTGATCTTTAACCCACCTAAAATTTTATAGTGAAACCTGCTTTATATTGTTGTTCTGAAGCTTACAGTTGACCTATACAAACTCCTGAATTTAGAACTGCTGTCGGTGTAGTATATGCTGTGTTCCATGTTGCCTTTTTAGATGGCTTTCTATCCCCTGAAAAATAAATATGATGAGGTTTTATGGTCATTGGGTAAAATTTACTCTTGGACATTATTTCGTTGATAAAGTTAGGATTCTGTGGATATATTCAGTTACATAAAGAGAAAAGCATGAAGAGCATGAAGCATATCTGAGAATATCTTTTGCCTTTAAGACGATTCATTCTTGTCTAGAGGGAAAATTTGGCTGATGTGGGAATAAAATATAATTGAGTATTCAACACCATGAAGGTAAATCTTATTTTGCACATCTACTGACCTTAATACCCCAGACACTTCTTGAATACTTTGATTGGAATTGGAATATATAAAAAAAGAATATTATTTTTGTTGTGCTTAGGATACTAAAAGGATATTAGTTACCCAAGAGATCCAATTTCTGTTTTTCTGATGAATAGTGTTCAGTAACATGAAGCGGTCTTAAGAGTGACTAATAATTTCAAAGTGATTTTTCTTCTACTCTTAGTATTTTTTAATTATTTATTTTTAAGAGTTTTATACCTTGAACAAGTACAATGATTTGCTTTAGTTTAGTGAGAGGACAATTTCTGATTGATAGTTTTCTCTTCAGGCCATCTCACCTCTTCATTCTCTTGTTACATTTGGAACAGTCAATATAATGGGTTTATACTTTAAAAGATGGTGCCATGAAGTTGAGGAGTTGAGTAAATTATCCTGTTCTAATTGCAGAGGAGCTTTCCTCAGATGCCCTGTAACTTCTAGTTTTTGTGCAAGAAGTTCATTTTCTGAGTAAAAGTTATTTTCATATACGTTGGTGGAAAATTAACTCATCAAAAAATAATCTTATTAGGTATTTGAACTCTAAAACTAACAGATAAGACTGATACGTACCTTATCAGAGCACCAAAACTAATTTGCTAAAGTCTTCTGTTTAATTCTGCAAGACCGATGCCTAACACGCAGTCTGTTCTCCTCCTGTGTCTAGGTCGAGAACTCAGGTTTGCTTTTCTGTTTAGTGTCCTGGTAGCGCTGTTGAGTAACTTTCATTGGAGGTTGGGAAGGAAGTGAGGAGAAAGTGTTCTTGTTTAGTGTTTATTTCCCTTAATAGGATGTTGCCCAACCCTGTTCATCTCTGTGTCCTGTTGACTGAATATTCCAGGTAATTGAAAGTAAATATAACGGATGGGCTCCATTAAAACCAGCTCAAAAATAAGTTCCTGTCAGTAAAGATTTCTTGTCAAGATGTCTTGGATTGCACTTTTGTTGAGGAGGGACAGTGTAAATAGTTAAAGAGTGTTGATAAAGTTGAAACATTTGGTTGTGGAATTGTATGTGGTTTTAGAGGGTTTCTGTTTGTGAAATGTATGTATTAAAAATAATAAAATTCCAGAAACTTAACATTTTACTCTGTTGTTACTTTGTCACTTTATTTTTGGTTGAGATTTTTGAGCGGTGGGATTGTCTGGTCAGAAAAAATGAAGAGAAAGCTTTCACGGGTTTTGATCCGTATTCAGGTAACCATTTCAGAGTCGCTCCTGCAGCTGTTAAAAACAACTTTTTGTGCTGCTTGCAATTCATGTATCACAAGTAAACTCGCCTTGCAACAAAAGCTTTCTGTAGGACAAAGTTGATTCTATATGGATAGTCCAAAATTATGGTTCTGGTTTTAGGGAATTCTATTGGATAGATAGTATATGTTAAAGAAAAGTAAAAACAGAGGCCACCATTTAGATATATCCCAAGGCCAACCACCCATAGTCACATAGCTGAAACTTAAGTCATCCTGATGTCCCTGAAGTGCTAGTTCTAATCAAACAAAACACAAAATGTAAGACCTTGTCAGCATGGTTTAGTGAAATCAAACTTGTTAGCTATAGTAGTCACCCCTTATTTGCGATTTTGCTTTCTGTAGTTTCAGTAACCCATCCATGGTCAACCTCAGGCTAAGAATATTAAATGGAAAATTCTAGAAACAATTCAATGATTTAAGATATGCACCATTCTGAGTAGCATCATGAAATCTCAAGTCCTGTGCCATCCTGTCCAGCAGGCAAATCATCCCTTTGTCCAGTGGATCCATGCTATAGACGTCACCTATTAGTCACTTAGGAGGCTACTAGATGAGTCCTGTTATTGCAGTGCTTGTATTCAAGTCACCTTTATTTTACCTAAAAATGACCCCAAAAGGTGACCGGGTGCAGTGGCTTACACCTGTAATCCCAGCACTTTGTGAGGCCAAGGTGGGTGGATCACCTGAGGTCAGTAGTTTTCTACCAGCTTGGCCAACATGGTGAAACGCCATCTCTAGTAAAAATACAAATAATTACCTGGGTGTGGTGGCGGGCGCCTGTAATCCCCGCTATTCGGGAGGCTGAGGCAGGAGAATCTCTTGAACCTGGGAGGCAGAAGTTGGAGTGAGCGAAGGTCATGCCACTGTGCTCCAGCCTGAGCAAAAAAAGCAAAACTGTCTCAAACAAACAAACAAAAAACCAAAGTGCAAGAGTAATGCTGGTGTACTGTTAGACTTGTTCTGTTATTACTAGTCATTGGTGTTCATCTCTTATTGTGCTTAATTTATAAACTTTATCAGAAGCATGAATATATAGGAAAGGTCTTGGAAAGGATTCCCCAAGGATAAGGGAGGGCCTACTGTATAGACAAATCAACAACTGGTCTGCTTTCCTTTTAAAGAATGTTAACATGTAATAGCCAGTCACAAAAGGGCAAAAATACTGTCTCCCTTATGCTTTATAAATGGTGCTATAACTGCTTTGCACAGACTTCTAACCATTTTGGTTTGACATCTCCAGGTTTGCCAGCTGTTCTTTTGTATGCACAATAAACTTTGATCTGATTTTATTTTTGACAATAGATTATTCTACAGATGTTTTCTTTGTTTCCTAGGTCTGTAACAGTTTTCCTAATGAAAATACTTGATCTTATGCATCTTCATTATAAGCAAAGAGAAAAGTAGTCTAATTGAATGTCTTGCTGACTTCATATATGGTGATCAAGAATAGTTTATCCTTAAATCTCCTTGTCCTCTTCAATTCAAATATCATTCTTGTCCAATGTATTAAAATCCACAAACACTAGAACACAAGATAAGTTGGGAAAACCTGAGTAAAGAAAATCTTTAGTCTGCCAGTGGATTCAAAGCCTGTGTTGTCATTTATTAATGCAGATATCTGAGTCATAAATTTTGTTTAAAGCCTTGTAAAGGTCTTGGGATATGATTTCTACCAATATAACTTATGGTCAAGAAATAGTTTGCAATTTTAAGGAAAGTACAGTTCTTACTGCAGAAGGAAAAAAAGTTGCAGGAAAAAAATAAATGGTAATTGGTAAGCATTACATTTAATGGAAGAAAATTCTTATTTCTTCTTAGTGGTTTCCGTTACTTTAGATCTTGCTTATACTGTTTTGACTTAAATTTGGCAAATTCAGTAGCAATTAGATTGCTAATTATGAAGGCTGTTTAAAGGGTTACATTTTCAAAGGGGGAAAAATTCTTGCCTTGAGCTTTTCTTCTTTTTCTGTTCTCTCAACTCTCCACAGTGGGGTAAACCTTACCTATTGAATGTGAAATACCTTTGAGGACAATAAGGTGCTGTACAGGTGTAATATTTGAAATAGCAATGTATTTTTAAGGCGTATTTGTCTTTAGTAGAATCTTTTAGCATTGTAATAATTATGCTAGCTCTATCTGGCATTGCTAAGCCTCAAACAGCAAAAGTAAAAATAATGCAGTTTGTCTCACCAAGTTCAGTAGACAGACACTGGTTTCATTCATCAGTGTTCAAATGGAATTGGCTACCATAACACCATGTTTTGGTGATGGGCACCATGTCAAGCGGTTCTGTTACACTTGATTAAAAATTTAGATATCTAAATCAAGTATAGAACTGTCTAATTATAATTCCTGATAAACCCTGTTATTTTAAGAATGAGAAAGTCATAACCATAACAGTGATAGAATTTAGATGTGTCAGAATTTGGAACAAGGGCTATGGTGTTTCTTTTACTCACATGGTAAATGTTTGTTAAATTTCATTGACAATTATACTCATTTTAGAGGTAAACTGAGGCTCAGAGAACTTTCAATAAGTTCACATAGTTAATGACTAACTAGGAATTAAACCTGGATCCTCACTCCTAGTCCTCACCATGAGATTTGGTAACATATTCAGCTAGCTAACTGTTGTTCAGAGTAGAGAATCCAAGCACTTTCTTTCTCTTTTGTTTTCTGTTACCATTTGCATACTGGCCACCTTTAGCATATTAATTGTCAGATATAGACATTAGTAGCCTAAAGAGATCATTGTCAGTTGTCCATGTTACTTTTGAAACTGTTTTAAATGTGAACTTAAGACTCTGAAGTTTATTTTTTTGTTGTTGCTTTTATTTTGTGTTTCCTGATTTCATTTTCTGATGCTAAGGGTAACAAATCTGGGGGCATAGATGAATGGCACTTCCACTTGCTGTAAAGGAGAGAAAATGTCAATTACAGGCATGTATACTTTTACCAGGTATGTAAATAAGATCTCTATCTAACTTAATGTTGACTAAAGAAAAAATATCAAGCTTTTAAAGAATTAAAGTTAGTTTTATTCAGAGGTCTTACTGAACACTTGTAGGCTGAGGCCTGTAGCCCAGGAGTAGCCTTTGAGAGGTGTTTTGTCCGGCTGCTCCAGCACAGATACTTCATCCCACTGCTGATATACCGATGCTGGAGGTTGGTGCATGCAAAATCACATCAATATTTGGGTGTAAGAGTACATCTGGTTATAGATTACAGAAGCATAATCACTAAGCCTGTTAGACATTTTATGTTAGAAAAGACAAGGATTAGGGTCATTTATCTTTTAAATAATAGAGTGACAAGGCAAGAGATATGGGGACCGTTTGCTAACACTGCATCGTCTTCAAAGCATCCTTTCGAAGAGCTGCACATTGTTGTGGAGTCAGGGGCTTTGTGAAATTATGTTAGCAAGCAGAAATGAGCAGACATGGCTGCTGATGTTTGCTACTTTCTCTCCTAGGAGGTTGGGTGTAATACACAACAAACATAGGAGAGGTGTTTGGACATTGTACAGAGCAGCGAGTCCCCAGAAGTAAGTGAGAGGAACCTTGTGATGTGGAAGCTACAGAAATGATAAATATATGTATCAGTGGATGGGCACCCTGTTTTCAGTTGAGGAATAATTTGGGCTTAAGACAAGGCAGTAGATTTAAAAGCTATAGTAGCCCTTGCTTTAGCAACACAGGTGCCAACATAGAAGTAATCCTGTGAGGCCTAGCTGGGCCCTCTGCATAGGGGTGACGAGCACATTGGAAGCATCCCGTTTTAGAAGAAGAAACAACACTTTCTAAAAAAGAAAAAGAAATCAATAGTTGTGTCTTTTCACCTCATTTTTAAATGCACTAATTTGTTAGCATCTGTTTTGTTAAGATAAATGATTGCTTGAGGAGAACTCAAACTCAAGAGTTCTGGTTATAAGGTGACATTTTCAGTCTACACCAAGAATTCATTTTATTCTTGGGGATCTAGCTTTGAGTTATTTTTAGATTGAAACATGTCAAGCTGTCAGATTTTAGAGAATTGATCTATCCAGTTGGGCTGGGTTTTCTTTTTGACTAACGTTTCTAACAGTTTCTCTAGGTATGTTTAATTTTCAATTTCTCACAATCTTGTTAGAAGCTCTTCCCAGACTTTTCAGAGTTGCTTAACTTGATCAGGGTTTATTGGAATTCCATATAGTCTTAGAGGGAAAAAGTGTTGGTTACATGTTTCTCTTAAGGAATTACAATTTTTTATGGTTTAGGGGCTGTCCCTTGCTAATTAGCAGTATTCTGAGTTCCTGCCAAACCATTGGTTGAATAAGTGCTCTATGCCTTTTTGTTATTTTCATTACATTAACAAATTGCGTATTTTTCTAAAGTTCTGGTAACACTGCAGGTGACTGAGGAAGGAAGTAAAGCCGGGTGAAGCCTACAGGCTTGTGTTGTTCTGAGGCTCCAGAACCCCATGGTTCTAAAAAGAGAATGATTTGGACAGAGAGTCGGGTAGTAGGAGTCCTGGGCTACTGTGAATATTTCAGAAAACTTAATGGAGATCATAAAGTCACTCACCACAAGGCTGCACAGGATACCTAAAAGGTCAGTTTACTTTTGGCAGGAGTCATGGCAACCTTGGTTATCAAGCTGCTCAGAAACACTGGCAGTAGCATATGCCTTTGATGAATAATATATGAAAACAAATGAGTTATTATTTAATGTAGTTTAGTTTAAATAAATAAGTTTTCAAAACATAGGATAGAGTCATATTGGGTTGAGGGTGGTCTTTGGTGATGGGAAAATGCAATTTTAAAAAATCTGCACTTTTTTTCTAGTCCTTTTTCTTCT